GTGGTTTTTTAAGTGCGTTTTTTAGAAGTCTGGGCCTTGCAGAGAGCTCCAGACTACAGCTGTGGTCGGGACAGAGGGAAAATGTAGAGGAAGAAGAGGCTGGCCTTGGGCCTGTCACTCCCGACTGTGGTCAGAGAAACTCTCCTCTCATTTATCACCTCTTCGTACGATTTTTCAATCTGGAGAGAAGATTTTGCTTTTTAAGTGTATAAGTGAATTTTATCATTGGGTGTCCTTCATCCAACAAATACAGGCAAACCTCAGTTCTCGAATGTCTTGGTTCTCAAACATTTTGGTTCTCGACAAAGTTGTTCATGGAAAAATAATCTCCATGGTCTAACAAAGCTTTGGGGCTCGATTCCCCAACTTGACAGCCCTTTTGTGCTGATACCTGCGTGATCAGTCACGTGTCTCTCAGGTGATTCAGTTTTCAAACAAATCACTTCTCAAACAATCTTCTGGAACAAAGTAAGTTCGAGAACTGAGATTCCATTGTATTTTTGTTGTTGTTGTTTTTTGAGCATCTACGATGTTCTGGGTACTATGCCAGCCCTGGAAGCTGCCAAGATGAGTAAGTCTTCCTGCTAATGTAGGGCTTCAGGTGCTATTAAATTGCTTAAAGACAGTGCTATAGGACTGCGTGGAAAACGGCAGTTTAGCACTAGTTTAGGGAATGACTTCACAAATGAGAAAGCTGGGATCCAGGAAGTTTAAGTGACGCATGCAGAGTGGCACAGATAGTGACCCATACTGCCAACTCTGCCAACAGATGCTCCCTGGTCTGGCCCACACTGCTTCCGAACAGAATGGGATCCACACACCAAAGCTCACTCTTCACATCCTTTGAACACTTGTGATGTGATTTATGTCTTCACCACTCTGTATTCCCAGGGTCTAATACAAGGGACCCCCAAAATGTTTAATTTTTTTCAGACATTGAGAGGAGTTAAGGAGAAGAAAATTACTTTGAAGGTAGTTACCTAAATCAATATACACCAACATGGCTGGAGATGAGAACTAGCCAGAAGATATTGGAAGACCTGATTAATATGCATAAACGATATAAAAATAGGGACATTACATTATCCCTCCAATGCCAGCATCATGTGCTTTGGCGGGCATGCCCTTCTGCTGCTGTTTACACTATAATAAGAGCTCAGTGAACATGCAGATATTTTAAGTGGCCGAGAGAGAGTGCTTTTTTTCCACAGACGTATACTTTCTGTGGACAGAACAGCAGTTTTTATTTTGGTAGGTTCCCACACTTTGATTTTCAGCATCCCACAGGATTGTAAAACACATTCAACATTTTTATATTGGAGTGAACATATTTTTGGCTCTAAAAGTATTCATTTTGGTTCAATTCATAGCTGTATGGAAAAGCGTATGAACTTGAACTTCCTTTAAAGTATATAGCCATGGATTACTTGGATACCGATATGTAATCTAGCTTTGAAAAAATGTAATTTACTGCTGACACTGATTTTAACTTTTTAAAAATCACTGTGTTATATCGATTTAGGAGAGGACTGAGTACATGTAAAAAAAAAAAAAAAAAAACTGGCCTGGAATTTGATGTTCTCCTGAGAGGAATAAAGTATAATTTAGATATTAAAGTCATTAACCCCAATATTTCTAAAAGATAAAATAGACATAATACAAGGTCCCTGGATTTGATTTTTCTAAGCTCCAAACATATTTGCAAATTTTGAATGAAACCATAACTCCTTTAAAAATACAAGTAATTCACGTCCAATTAATCACACAGTTCCCTCTAGGTCACTTTCAGACAGGCCACATTCCTAGGACATTAATTTAAGCCTTCATTGATTCTGTAAGTAGAACCAGCACATAAAGTGCGGCTTTGTAAAGCAATAGCTAAGCCAATATGATGCTATTCCATTGCAGTGAAACTATGATTTTTGTATTTAATAGAGATATTATAGTTCTTACTTCTATTCAAATGGTAGTAAAATTATTTTAAAAACTATATTTACATATCCAGTTGAACCTAGGGAAGATTTAAAAAATAATTTTATTTAGATCTATCCAATATTTTCTTCTTATATTTTAACATTTTTTTTTCCTTTCTCAAGGTGCTGCCTGTATTTACAGAGAGATGGATGAACTTGACCAATTTTAGAGAACTCCATCACCAACTGAGATCATCCTTCTATTTCTCAAAAAGAGCTCCTAAACATCAGAACAAATTTTGGACCAAGTGAACAACCCAAAGATTTCACTGTGGTCAAGGCTAAATAATGCAGATGAGTAAGATATGGAGCTATGCTTACATTATGCAAAACACAAAGACATTCTCAGCTGGAGGCTGGTGCAATGTTCCATGACAAGGTGTCAACTATCTGGTTAATTTGGTCAACACAGACAGTGCCAGGGGATATTTCAGGCTCTGAGTGAAGATGAAAGCAAGGAGGAACTCAGCTATTCCGCTTCGCACTTTCAATCATTCTTGTCTTACTCTTTGTGGTTTTCCTATAGAAGATATACGTTTCATGGCAAACCGGAAATTACCAATAGTACTGGCAACACCTTCTGGAATGGCTTTGTGTTTATGAACAAAACTGAAGAAACAACAAAAAATGGCTGCTTGTCACGAAGGAGTAAAACACACATTTCTGATGAGGAATGATCTGCGCGTGGGTCTGACTGCCCATGGTGGAGGCTGTGAGTGGTGCCTCACTCACTTCCTGATCCACATTATTCCGCAGCCACAAAACGTGCTGCACGTACATTTGCTCAGAGATGGATCAAAGTCCTCTTGGCAACACTAATGAAGCCATGTTTCCCTAAAACATACACCTTGCAAGCTAAATAAATATACCTCCCTAAAGAAAACAGACCTTTTCTAAAGAGAAGAAAAGGATGTTAGTGGCTTAGAAACTGGATAGAAAAGAAATAGAATACATCTGCACATCTAAAACTAAGGTTTGAAAAAACAGTCTAGGAATCCTTAAGCAGAGAGTTTGATTCCTGTGTCTTAGGATTAATGAAAGTGTAATTTCAGGGGCTGGATTCAGAGTTGAGTTCCAACCACCATAACATAGTCCAGTTTGATCTGGGGTTCCTGTGCTCACTGTCTGGAAGACCTGAGAGGGTGGGAAGAGTATTTGGTAATGATGGCTTCTCTCAGAGTCAGTGTTGTTACATCGTTGAGGGACCTTCTGTCTGTGTGGGAGAGGGAATAGGACCTAGTACCTCAAGTTCATAAGGTACTGGGAAGTTGACTCATGGTCAAGATCCAGGGCCTAGCCCTGGCTGGTGTGACTCAGCTGGTTGGAGTGTCATCCCACAACCAAAAGGCTGCAGACTCAGTTCCCAGTCAGGGCACACACCTAGGCTGCAGGTCCCATCCCCCGTCAGGGCACTTACAGAAGGCAGCCAATCAATGTTTCTCTCTCTTATCAATTTTTTCCTCTCTCTCTCCCTCCCCCCCCCAAAAAAAAGTGATGAAAAATGTCCTTGGATGAAGATTTTTAAAAAAGAGCTCTAGGGCTTAGGTTGCAAACTTAAATACTGTACCTACTAGGGCCTGAAGTTTTTTTTTCTTAAAAGAAGTAAAAAATCTGTATTTTTAAATATAAGAAATCATCTTATATTAAAGCATTGATCCATTTTGTTTTAATATGCAGATCTGGGAGCTTGATTTGGCTTGTGATTAGCAGTTTGCTAGCCATGGTCTGAGGTTTAGATGAAAAAATACGTATGTGATATTCTTGGGAGGCAAAATGATGCTCATGGTTACAAACATTACATGCCAAGTACTCTGTTAGCACTGAACTTACCTCAGGTTATCCTCACAATGGCCCCAATGGTTGCCCAGTATTCCCTGCCCATTTTACAAGTGTGGGTATTAAGTGGCGCAGAGGTTAAGAAACCTGCCCATGTTTAGAGCTAGCTAAGCGTCCATATGCTTGACCATACTATATGTACAATATCTGACTTAGAATCCAAAGTTACAGGTGGTCATTTTTTTAACTCTCCTCTACTCATTCTCTTTAGTAAATGTTTGAGGCTAATGCCTTAATAATAATAATATTAGTAATAATAACAGTTATTGTTATTGAGTTAAGCTAATGTTTCCTTGAGTTGAGAAGAGCAGTAGGCACAGACCGAGTGTATATCTCAAACTCCGAGGCAGAAACATTGGGCCACAGTTCAGCGCTGCTTTTCCTTAGCTGTGTGAGTTAGGCAAATCTTTTAAGCTCCCGTCACACTTCATTGCTGATTTTTCTGGCAAGTTAGTGAGACAGGTTTTCTATCCCAGTTTTGTGGGTGAGAAACTGAAGCTCAAACGACCAGTGCAGGTGCCCGGTTCTGTAGGTCCTCAGTGAGAGGGAGCCAGTGTGACTTCCATACCCCCTGAGGCAAATCCCTGGCCTCTGAAAGCAAGTGACCAGCCCCGTCCTGCAAACTAAACATCAGGAGGACCAAAGAAAACGCACATGGTAACAACCTGCAAAGTTGTGGGCACGTATGTTGGCTGTTTCCATGATCATTATTACCTATTATTTCCTTTTCTTACCTGTAAGAAAATGGTGACCTGCAGGAGAAAGGTGGTTTGCTATGATTAAAACTTTCTTGGCACTCAAGCAAGTGCTATTATATCACTCTACCTCCTGGGTCAATCAACCTACGTGGTGAATTGCTAGAATGAACTATCCAAATGGCAGACGCAGACAAACTGGAACAATATAAAAAGTATTTCTAATCTATCTCCTCCTGAGCACTCAGGACAGCCAAGGTAATGGTGAAAGGTTGGCAAGTAAACATGCAAATCACACACTCTCTGGGAGACCCGTTGGATTCCTGCCCTTTTCCCCCAACTAGAGTTGCTCTCTTTTCCCCTGTGCAGTCTGAAATTGGGCCTGTTAGGAAACACGAACTGGAAGGATCGGCGCTCTCCAAACTAGCTCAGATTGGGATCACCATCACGAACTGAGCAAGAGGCACTGAGAACTGAGTGAACAGAACGAGCTTACTTCAAAGACCAGCGTCTCATTAGTGGGTCCCGGAGTGTACAGACGTTCGGGGCGGTTAAAGGCACGCTGGTACTCAAACACGGTCCCCGCGAAGAGGAACTCCCCAGGCCAGTCGATGCTCCAGCCCCCCGTTAGGTAGTACTTCTGATGGAGGCTTCGGACCGCGAGGTAACTGGAGGACATCTGCAGTTCCTGGACTTCGATGCTCCGGGCCCCCGCCGGAATGGTGACTACCGGATAGTACTCTGAATGGAAACGAGAGGACATCTCTGTTTTCCACTGAAGGTGACTAGGAGTGCCCAGAGACCTATAGTGGCCATTTTTAGAGTGAGGTTTTCGAAGGAATTAACTGACATTCCTTTCTACTCTTATGAACTGAAAATGATAAATTATCTCCTTTCCCAAGGGGCAGAACATGAGACAGAGAAATCTAGGTCACTTTCCCAGGCACTTGTGTGAGGACAGAGGCTACACGTCAAGGCCAGGAAACTCAAGAACACTTTTTCTTTTTCATCTATCTACAAGAAAATCATAGCCATGTATTCTCACAGTGCTATTCAAAAAACAGAGCTCGAAATTTAATCTTACTCAAGATGCTGAGATAATTGCTTCAAATATCCATCTAACACTGCGAGGGTGTATTATCCAAGTTTCATAATAAGCTCTTTGTTTAAGAAACGAATGTGGGGCGTGTGCCAGTCTGGATAGTGTGTTAAAACTGTCTGGTAGGAGAGCATGCGTGTAACACATCTGCGAGATGTGTGTATTGACAGGGCTTTTTATCTTAAAAAACCTACCTCTCCTCCTTCGCTCTTGTGGAAGTGCCAAAAGCCATCATTTTCCATGAGCCAGGTGAGCCAGGTAAAGGCTTGACCACCTTTAGCATCACCTGAACATGTTCAGTAGCTACAGGTGTGTCCCACCATGGTAACAATGAACAGCAGCATCTCTTACCATTTGCTTTATGCTGGTTGAGGTACAGGCCTTTATAAAACTTGCAAGTCGAATTATCACCTTTGCAAACACCACAGGCATCAGAAACTGCTTTAGACCCAAGTTCATGATCGCATCCCACTGGCTGTGACAAAGGCCAAAAAATCAAGAAAAATCACAAGTCAGAGAAGCCAGTGACTAAGAATAACCGAGAGGTCCATGGTTTTCTGTACTTATAGAACATGAGGAAGGAGGCTCAGCTTCATGGTTAAAACACAGTGTCAAGTTCAGCTGACTCAGGGTTCCAATCCTTCCTCTGTCATTACTAGATGAATGTCTAGGCAGTTATGTAACTTATGTAGGCTTAGACTCTTTGTCTGTAAAACTGCAATACAGAGTCTCTCTTGCTAACAATGGCAGATGAGCTTATTTGGGTCAGCTCCACCGCTGAAACATAAAATGCTGGAGAAAACACACACACACACACACACACACACACACACACACACACACACACACCCCCAAGAGATCAAAGATTCCACAATCCAATTAAAAAAGAAAGTGGATACCCAATAGAAAGAAAACTAACAGAAATAAACAGTAGTACTTGTGAGGCTCTAATCATAGTACATGTACTTAGTGAATACACAATAAACATTTACTGCTATTATATACATTCATATGTAATTTTTACAACTACTATGCAAAGTAGGCTATATCAGGATCTCCATTCTATTACACAAAGATGGAGCAAAAAGGAAACTAAAAACCCAGACTAGGGCCACACAGCAAGTAGGTGGGCAACCTGGAGACAGTGCTCACGCCCAGGTTGAAGATGTTGCCCTTTGTCCCCACGCCACCTGCTTTTCTGCAGACAGTATCTCTCCCACACTTCTCACATCTGCATTTGATATAAAGAAACACAAAACATGCTCAGACATCCCAAAGTAGAAAGGTTCTCTTACTTCACAAATCCCATCAATACAAACATCATTTTTGTTTGGGGAGCAAGGAGTTCCGTCTTTCACCTTGCTGGACATTGCAAAAAAAAATTCGAAGTTCTCAGCCTTGCAGTATAGTCTACATCGGTCTTCCTCTAGAAGCAAAGGGATCAAGACAGGACGTGGTCAAGAGGAATCACAGGAAAATGACATGACCCCCAGAAAGATGAATTAAATTTATTTAGAATGGAAAGTGTTATTTACAGTTTCGTGTGTGTGGCATGTTTGTGCATGTGTGCTTATGTATATTGCTTTTAAAAATAGGAATGCCATTTCGTAATCCATATAAAGCTGCTTCAACATTAATATCTAAGAATTTTATTTCTCTGATCCTTAATAACAGCTGCAATACACACATGGGTTGTATAGTTACTCTCCTTGGACAGTAAATATTTGAAACTTCATAGGCATCATGGTCTGCTGTTGCCAATGTATAAATGAAGGAGTGTTTAAAGTTCCAATAAAACTATATATTTATATTTATATTTTAATTCCATTATTCAATTACAGTTGACATTCGGTATTATTTTATAATAGTTTCAGCTGTTCTGAATAGTGATTAAATGATTACATAATTTACAAAGTAACCCCACAATTTTTCAGGTACACACCTGCCCTCATACACGGTTGTCACAACATTGTTAACTGTATTCCCTCTGCAGAACCCTCCACTCCCATAACTACTTTGTAAGTACCAGTGTGTGCTTCTTATTTTCTTCCCCCTTGTCACCCAGCTCCCAACCCCCTTCCTCTCTAGCAATTAGTTTGTTCTCTGTATCCGTGTTTCTGTGTTGTTTGTTCATCTAGTTTTTTTCTTTAGATTCCACATACAAGTGAAATCATATGGTATTTATCCTTCTCCAATAAAACTTTGTTTTTTAAAAAAGTAAGACAGATTTGGCCCACAGGCCATAGTTTGCTGACCAGTGATTTAGGACATGGCTTACTATAGATATTTATTCGATCGGTTAAGAGGAAAAAATTAAGCATTTTGGAAAAAAAGGCATATATTCAATAATGTGCATAAAACATACAGAGAAGAATCATATCATGAAAGGGAAGAGGAAGCAAATGAACTGAAACTAAAGGCTAAAAAAATGAACTTTCATTGACCATTAAGTTTCTGGTAACACAGGCAGAGAGAAAACAGTATTATACTTATAGAGCTCTTGTTATCAGAAAGAAGTTATTGTGCTAGACTCTCAAATATGAAGAGCTCTCCTAGGCCAGCAACTCCAGATGGCATTTCTCACGAGACCTGAAGCGAGCAGTATTGTGATCGGCCCAACCACAGACTTACAATGAATGTGCGAACAATTTGCAAACAGTTGTGCTTCACAAAACCCCTCGATAAAGGACAACGCCAAAAATGAGAAAAAAGTTCAATTATTGTGACCCAAATATGCAGATGTGTAGATGGATTAATTTTTTCTCCCACCTAGGAACTTTTAAAATAGCAGCTTTATTTAACACCTGCTATTTTTTGCATATGAGATTAGGGAGCTGGAAGCAACAAGTTTTAGAAAATTCCATTTTTCCAGCACAGCTTCTTGAGAAAGTTATAAATTAATCCATGGGAAACACCGGAGAAGAAAAAAGCTCACAACTGTAAGATAAAGATGATCTATGGATATGAATAAAGACCAAGATGATCTACGCATAACCCATCCCTTGTTTCTCCCAAACTGCATGAAAGTCACAAGCGCTTCAACCGTGGTTGGTCTGAGTCTAAAGGAGGAGAGGGAGGGACAGGAATGCCTTCACTGTTCTGCCTCCCCGCTGGGCTCTGAGAGCCCACGGCTGTGGACTCTGTTTTACTCATGTAGCCTGCTCTACGCCGGGCAGGGAATCTGCCACGCAGTCAGTGCTCAGTAGACATCTGTTGAGTGAATGAATGAAACGGCATGCTCCTTGCTTAGTAGAAACTCCAATAAAATTGGTGAAAGAACTTTGCAGCCAAAAAACATTTTACACGTTATAAAATGCATATGTATTCAAGATGGGGCCTGTTTAAAGGATGATCCTAATCTATTGACAGATTCCATAAACACTCTATTTGTATTTTCTTTTTTTTTAAGGTTTTATTTATTTAATTTTAGAGAGAGGAGAAGGTGAGGAGAAAGAGAGGGAGAAAGCCCTGGCTAGTGTAGCTCAGTGGATTGAGTGTGGGCCTGTGAACCAGAGTATCGCGGTTTGGTTCCCAGTCAGGGCACATGCCTGGGTTGCAGGCCAGTTCCTAGCAGGGGACACATGAGAGGCAACCATACATGGATGTTTCTTTCCCTATCTCCTTCCCTTCCCCTCTAAAAATAAATAAATGAAATCTTTTTTTAAATTCTTAAAAAAAAAAAAGAGGGAGAGAAACATCCATGTGTGGTTGCCCCTCATGTAGCCCCCACTGGGGACAAAGCCCACAACCAAGGCATGTGCCCTGAGTGGGAATCAAACCAGTGACCTTTCAGTTCACAGCCCGTGCTCAATCCACTGAGCTACACCAGCCAGGGCCATAAACACTACGTTTGAATGAAAGATATGGGAAAGGCCAGGGAATACCTAAGAAGACAAAGCAAAGAGCAGAAGGGGGAAATGAAGGGAAGGACAACAGAATCTTGGAGAAAGAACCATAGATAAGAAACGTGGAATTATGGGTGAGTACAATAAAGAGCAAGGAAGTCTTCAAATGTCAGACTTGAAAGCAACTGTAGGTATTCTACTGCATTGTCTGCTGGGACCTGCCGGAGACTATCCTCCCTAGATAACCCCTCGGTTCGTGATCAGATGCTGCTAGTGACGGAGAGCTTATGGCTCCTGAAGGGGCACATTTCTGCTATGGACAGTTTATATTCATCTGCTCATTCTGCCCAAGTTATAAAAATTCCTGTAGAACCTAAGTTCTCATGGGGGGAAAGGTCACAAATAAATGACTGTATAATATAAATGCATGCACTAGTAAGAATTATGAAGAATAAAGCAGATTAAGGGTTCAAAGATTGATGTGAAGAAGAGTGTTTGGACAGGCTGGCAACTGGAATCTCTCTGAGGTGATGTGGCTAGACAGTTCTTAGTCCTTGAGCGAATTCTATGTGCTGAAGCAATTCAAAGAAATCCAAAGTCCCTTCCAGTCAACAAAACTCTGAATTTTTGAAGGTAACTCGTGTCTTCTCTACAGCAAATACCTATATAGGTTCCTCATTGCTTCCTCCTAAAACAGGGATTTCAGAGTTTTCATGTCTGCTGTCATCTGTTTTAGGCACCCATGACCCAGACACAGACCAGTGCTCTGGGATGGGCTGGGCGGGTGCTGAGCGGAGTTGCACTACCATCTTTCATTTGGAAGCGCTCCCTGTTACAGTGATGTCTCTAATTGCATTGGCTGCTCCGAGGTAATTGATCATCTAGGTCCATTTTGGACTTTTGCACCAGAACAGCCTGCAGTCTCCTCCCCCATGAGTTGTCATTAAATTTAGTCTCTTTCCACATCACACGTGTGCAGTTGGGATCCCCACGTTTCCCTTTCCCGGGGAGCGTGGACAAGCTCCCATAAACCCAGTGACCGGGAGCAACGGAAGGAAACAACCGGAGTGGGTGGTGGCTTGCACTACAAAGATAACAGGAAGCACGTTCAATTTGTATATTAGAACCGAAATAAATGTTTTGATGCTTAACCAAAAACAAATGAATGTAAAGGCAAAATATGAGCCACTACTTTAAGTTATAATAAGTACTGAGAACCTAGTATGAGACTTTATTCATGGGGGGCGGGGTGTGTACACTCAGCAAACAGGCCTTCCCGTGCTTGTAACCATCCAACATGTCAGTTTCTGAGAGTGGTGTCTCTATGGGGCATATACGGTTTCATGAGTTTTTGGTCTGGATAATTCATACCAATTTCAATTAACATCCCTGGGAGGCTTAATTGCTGAAATGTCAAAGGTAAGTTTAGAAATGTAAGTGCATTCCAAACACATGAATACTTTGGCTTACAGATGTGGGAGACAAGGGGTGTCTTGTGAAAAATTAAGTGTGGAAAAATAAACAAAACCTATGAAACTGAGTTAAAATATGGGCCAGGACAGATCTGGGGAACAAAAGACAAAAATGGACACTCTGTCCCATCGGCAGCTGTTTCTTCTGGGTCACGTGTTCGTGTTGCCATCCACACAGAGACACGTTCACCTGAGGGGCACAGAGAGCAAATTACCTTCCACTTTCGTGTAGGGTTTCCACTGGTAGAACCACCCACGGAACGGCTTGCTGTTATATTCTGCACACTGCTGGGCTCGAAAATCCAAGCTGTTTTCATGACAAGGGTTAACATTGCACAACTGATAAATGCGGCTAGAACCCGGACAGAACTTGCCGCCATATTGAGGCCTAAAAAATAAAAGTAAAGAACTTTAGTGCTTAGCTGTCAAAGGGCTCACTACAGTCTCAGTAATACACAGAGGGACGAGCCAGGTGGGTGTCATCACAGTGCATACGGCCCATGATGAGAACGGAAGTGTGTAGCACACAACCTAGCACATCCCTTCTTGTATCCATGGCAGACATAACCAATCAATCAGAGGCTTTTGGGAGGGTGCGGAGCCTGATGCATCCTCAAAATCCCTCTCAGCATAGCCCTCAGGTAGCCACTACCGCTGCTCATCAATTGGAACTGGCAGATTAGAGCAAACTTACTTGGCATCTCTGATCATTTCTACATCTGGCATCTCCTTAAAGACTGATGAGAGCATCCTCTTGACACTCGTTTTGTCACCTTACATGATAGGAAATCTGCGAATGCACTTCCACGCTCCTATTAAGGTAGATGTGTGCTACTCACACATACCCCCAGGTTGACATCAAAGCTCTTTAACTGCGAACCCACACACCTCTCCAGTTTTCCACGGGTTTCTAGACACTCATCACCTTCCTATGGGTCACCCTGTCCCTGCTGATGTGCAGAAATTCAGGACACTGAGGAGAAGGATCAGGGAGCCTCATCTGCCATGTTTTCCAATCCAGCTCTGCCAGTCATTGAGCTGATATTCTTCTGATTGCTGTCTGACTCGTGTGTTTTACTGTAATTGTTCCGAAGCTACAAGGCCGATCATTCCCTTGTTTTCATCTGCACAATCGCTTTTTAACTTTGCAGGTGGCTCACTCCTTTCCTGCCAAGCACGATGGGAAATGGATTTCAAGAGTAGAGAATCCCATTAGGACATAAATAATTAGGATGTAATGGCAAGCTCTTCCAGATCTTAGGCAGGCTGCAAAAACCAGAAAGCAAAACAAAGAAAAAAGGAGCACAAATCACATTGAAAATCACCAACAACATCCTATCTGGCCTAATCCAGGCACAAAGCAAATGGCTTCTTTTCATTCCCACTTTTTTTGTAGTTTTCTCCAACAGCTGAACCCAACGATGGATCGCCTCACACCAAAGCTCGATGCAAACATGTAATGTGAAAGGAGGTTCCAGGTTAATAAATTTATGTGATTAAAATTCCCTCTCTCTTTAGGAAGCACAAGAATGCTATAAAACAGCCCTGGAACTGCTTCAGCATATTTTACCAAATCCTCCTATAACTGCATGCTAAAATGGGTTCAACAGAAACGAGAAGTGCCATCCTGCCAGAATGAGATTTTTCTGCTATTTCAAAACATTGTGGAGCAACTACTTAAACATCATGCAGTCACTGTGTAGATCAAAGCCCTGAGGATTTCTTAAATCATTATCTAAGAAGCACTTAGAAAAACTTGCCAGGGCCCTCGGACAGTCTTCCTGTTCCTGGTCATCTTTCCAAGGCCTGTGTCAGTCTTCCTTGGTGTAAGACTCCCTGAGGTTTCACACGTAACCTTCACTCAGATGATTTAAATGCAATAAAGTGAAAAAGGACCACATGTGTTACTTTTTCAACTCAGAAACTATAACATGGAAAAGACTTCAAGACTCATATAGCCATCGCACACAACTTGCTGCATCAAGACCACACAGCTAGAAGACAGCCAGGCTGAACCTCTAACCCCCGGACTCCCCAGGGTTCTTTGCCTACCCTGCTCCGCCTGCACCTAACTGAACACAGCAACAGGACCCGGGCACAGGGGAGGAAGAAAGGAACGCACAGTGGTCCCGGGGATGGACTTTTCCAATGAGGCAGATCTGGATTTAACTATTCTCTGCCTCTTCCTGGCTTATCTTTAGGCAATTTTATTTAACTTCTAAATCTGTAAAGCGGGGGCAATTGTGACAATGAACTGAAACAATATTTGTGAAGAATTTAGGGCAGAGTCTAGGGCCCAGTTTGCACAAATAAATCGTAACTATTTTTAAATGCTTTCTATTTCTAATGACTGACAAGGCTTTGGATGTTTCCATCAAACCCTCAAATACATTTTTCTAGAGCTACGAACATGAGTATTCAGATAAATGAACAGAAAATTCTACTATGGCATCCCTTGGTATAATAAGTGCTTGAAGAGTCAAAACAAAAATATAAACAGAAGACAATTGTCTAGACCCATTTCCTGTTTGTATTATAGAGTACATCCATAACTTGCTTCTGCATAATTTATCAGGTCCTCCCTATAAATGGTTATAATACTGGCTGCCCAGCTGATATTAGGGCCACTTGGGGAGAAAGCTCTGCTACATACTCCTGCACCCTCCTGGGCCCCTCCCCGACGTTCTCCATCAAAGCACATGATAGCCAAGACCCAGAAATCAGGTTTTTAAAGTATACGTGGTGACTCTGATAATCAGCTGAGCCTGGAAATTACTGGTTGGGGAAAGAGCCAGAGATGTGAATCAATTATTATTCTGATTCTAGTGGCATATTATTCTTTCTCTAATGGACTCACATTTTAGGGAAGTTCTAGAATACCAAATGTGTTTCATTTTCATGATTTTCATTTCACTGTTTTCTTAAACAGAGTTTATAGGAATTTGACTAGGCTCTCTGAAGGGTAATAATTTAATAGTAAGGGAACCAGGAAAAATATCAAAGGATTAAGACGGTGGGCCCTTGGTCTCACTGGAACATCACCAGCTTGGTGACCTTGGCGAGGACTGACGCTGGGCGTGGGACCCTCTGCCTCCCGTCACCTGCTTGTAAAATAACTGGATTAGACAACAGGTCGCAACTCACGTATCTGTTCTAACCTGATTGGGAGCAAATGCCTGGAAAGTGTTTGGAGAAGGTTCCTGAGGGCCAATAGAAAATGAAGCTTCATCTATTAAAAATGTCTGTGGCAGACATGGGAAAAATAAGACGGGGGCCCTGGGTACCTGGGACTGGCCATACCAGGACCAGATAAGCTGTAAACGCTCATGAAGCTGGAAGGCTTGATACGAAGCCACGAATCAGCCAGGAATAATTCATTTTTTATGAAACAAAAATATGTTCTGGGAAAGCCATCATCGTGTGAAATAAAAAGCACACACTGCTTTCACATGAAAAAATAAAAATGGTTAGGCCAACTAATGTGAACAGAACAAATGTTTAAACTGAAGAAAGAAAGAAATCAGTAACTTGCAATAGGGAGGAAGAAAAACAGCTGTGTTACAACGAAGCGAACTGAGAACAGAGAACAACTTCTTCAATTGTCTTGGGAGAGCCAATCCCTTACTTGTTTTATTTGTGACTTCAAGCCTAATCAAGGCAAACAGTACCATGATTAGGCTTAATCTTGCTTAAAATTAAAACTGCTCCAAACTACTTCAGTGATTAATTCTTCTATTAGGCATCTCTAAAGTTACAACGATACTTCCATGAGCAATGCCCTACTGCGGTGAGAGCTCTCGACCCTGCAGACACGGGAGAGGGTTTCACCGAAGTCTCGGGGGTGTCAGTCATGCTCTCTACCAGCCGGGCTAGTAAATTAGGCAATCTACTTCTTTCTTGGGAAAATAGTGAGATGGTAAAATGTTGTGATATATGAAAACCAGATCCATGAAAACGCACTGCAAAAATGAAACATAATATAATGAATGTTTAACAATTCCATCCAAGACAAGGGCTACATTCAAAGTAGAGGAGTGTGGTTTTAAAATCTGACATACATCGTACGACTATCACAAACCTCTGCACCATTACGCACAGTCACTGATTAGAGTAGTCAGTCTCTGCTGCGGACGACTCTGCTCCCTATAGGACATTGGGCAACATCTGGAGACATTTTTGGTTGTCACAAGTTGGAGACCAGGGGGAAGGGGAGTCATTCTACTGGCATCTCCTGGGGAGAAACTAAGATGCTACTAAATATTCTGCCACATACAGGACCCACCCTGACACCGAAAAAAGTTTTCCAGCTTAATACGTTAATAGTGTCAAAGTTGAGAAATCCTACGTTAGCCTGAGATACCCAAAGGGTGCCTAAGAGACCCTGGTTAGTGTATCTCCCCACCCTCCCTTGCATTTTGGAACAGATTGGCCTCTTGATCCGGTTCAGCCTGCTCATTCCCATAAAGTATCATTTGTCTCTCTAAAAATTGGCTTGGGCTCTAGTTTCATTATTTATTTTACTTCTCAATCTACCACACATTTATGCGATGTTTGCAACCTGCCATGCACTTACACACAGGTAGTATCTTTACCCCATTTTTACACATGAGGAATCCAGAGCAGCAGAGTACACTGTCTATGGCCCAGAGCTGGGAAGCAGGGGGCTGGGAGGCAAACCCAGGTTATTGGGGTGAGGTCTGTGTCCTTAGCTCCCGTGCTGCGCCCCCACTGAAGCGATGTTGTAAAATCGACGCCACTATTTTCCCATGCCCCATCCCATTCTCCTCACTCCGTACCACCCTCCAAAGTCCGGTTTCTTTAGTAAGGCCTCTCCCACTGCGTCTGAGGGCTGACCCTCTGACACCCCGTGCTCCTAGTGAGATTTAAGGTGAAAGGGTAAAAACCACATGGACCCCAGAACCTTTGTTGATTGGTCATTGGATGATCCTCAGTGTGTCGGACATTCCGCAGCTGCAATTTCTAATCCTCCCCAAACCTTTGGAGGTGAGTACTATCACCTCCATTCTGTGTACATGAACTCAAGCTCAGGGTTCATTGATCTTCCCAAAGCCACACAGTTAGTAAGTGACAGGCCAAACGTGCGGAATCACGTCCTCCTGTCTCCCAGACCCAGGCTCTCTCTGCGAACCAAGCCGATCAGGAAACACACGTGCAGTCCCTGTGGGAATCAGATCCTATGAAAGTAACAGCAAAGCCCCTTCTTCCACACGACAGACTGGAGTCAGACCCCCAGCACCAGGCCAGGGAGTGCCCGCTGGGGTTAAAGGCCAGCTGTAATCCGCAGATGTTTTGATTATTCCTCACAGTGTTTTTTTTTTAAAAGGAAACTGAATTTGTCATCAATAGTTTAAATATCGGGAGATTTCACACGACTTTTTCTTTAGATTTCTGGTTTCACTTGAAAAGTCAGGCAGATCCGTCAAGCCGTGTTGATGGACATTCCTGCAAGGCAGACATCAGCCTACTTTCTCCCCATGTGAGAGGGGCACAAGGCCCCCCAGCCAAACTCCGGGCTGCACAGCCTCACAGTCAGGTGGTGGGACTTGCAGCCCTCATTCAGATGCAGAAAGCAGCTCAGACCACGGCTACCATTAGGGAGCCCTTCATCACCATATTCTCGCGTGGACTAACTCCTCTGCTGGCGTTCTGTTTCTGCCCACCATGCCTCCCCCCCCCCCCCCCGGTGCACCCCACCTTCACATGCAACAGTGAAACCCTAGTTGACCGCTATGAACCAGAGACAAGGAAGCCGCCCTTAACAACAAAACCAGGCCAGGAAGTTACCAGTGGAAGGTCAATGCCTTACAAACACTGATGTCTGCGGGAGCCTTACTTGGGGTTGTTGCAGTGTCTCTCCTGGTACTTGACTCCTCCACCACAAGTGCGGGAACACTCCGACCACTTGGACCAGGCAGACCACTGGCCGTGGACAGGCCGGGGCCCGTGCTCCCCGAACTTCACACACTGGCCTTGCCGGCACCACTGGGGAAAGAATATGTGACATGTCTGCTGTCAGAAACCACTGGGAAACGGGGGCGGTGTGGGGGGGATGCAGACACCTGCACGGGAACGGGAAAAGCGCGTCGGCTGGCAAGTGGGAGAGAAGGCAGGACCCGCTGACGGAATTCCTGTGCTGGCTGTGCTGTGTAAACAGCAGCTTAGTCTGCAGTGACCACGTGCATTTTGAAAAGCTGACATCTATAGAGAAGGGGCATCTGTCACCAACAGATGCTTTGTGCATTGTGGAGCTGAAAGGTTTAGATGAGATGCCACCCGGCAGCCAAGCAAGTGAGAGCAGAAAAATGACAACAGGGCCTCCCTGGACGACCAGGAACAACGCTGCGTAGAGAGCAGTTTGGGTCGTGCACTCAGAGAGAAGCAGTGTTTCAAGATGGTAACAGAACTCATTATTCTGGATGTCTGTCTCATCATGCAAACAAAGACAACTATGCATACATTTTTGCTTATTCCACCTATAGAGCATTTCCTATAAAACTCAACGGCTTTCAGGCTACACATACTGTGCTTTTAGACAACACTTTTCTGTGTGTATAGAAGGTCCCTGCAAAAGACCCTCGGATGATGTGGAACACCGAGTGTCTTTTATGGACTAGCTTTGGGTCTTCCGTTTGTCAGTGATCTGCTCAAGCCAGGGAGAGAAAGGTGTTCTGTGCTAACCTTCTTGTTTTAGTGCCCCAGGTTTCGCCAGTCATATCTGTCCTTGGGGATTGCATTAGCCCTTGGTAATGGCTTCTTTCCTGTGGTGCCTTTATTTATGGGCCAGTTCTGCATGACTTTATAGAACTGCACCCTTTTCGGAAGGGCCCTGCAGTCAGATCCAAAGGGCTGGAGTGTGGACCGCACCAGGTTTCACCGAGGAGAGGGGCGTCAGGTACAGAATCATGGGGAGATTTGATTTTCAAATCTTCACTTTTCTCCCATGATACGTTTGCCTCGTGGCTGTTTATTGTGTTGCTAGTGCACTCTGTCTAGGTCGACACATTGCTTCCTGTCTTGCCACATTCTTGCCACGAAACTGATGAATTCTTCTGTTTATAATTTTTCTCTCCCTTGGATTAACTGCCATTTCAGAGCTTGCACAAAATCGTACAACACGGTTGAGGACTGAGTGGTGAGGTACAATGGGTCATTTGAGGATTTTGTCTACCATAAGTAAGAATCTGACTCTTTCCTACCTGGGGCCCCTGCGTCCTCCTGCACAGGGCTCAGTGGCTGAGACAACATGACAACAATAGCCCACAACCAGCACCACAGCTCCAGTTTAGGAAGTTGTGTGTGTGCCCAGTGGTGCAGGCAGGGGAAGGAGGGAGACTTCACGTGCATATCTAATGCAATCCTCCCGCAGCGTGTTTGTGGTTAATAACTGTTTTCTGGATGAGAGAAATCTAGCAAAGAGAAACTAAGTAACTTGTTCAGGGTCACACATCTACCCACGTAGCTGCACAGGGGCTAGATTTAAACTCAGACACATAGACTTTTCTCCTCAGAGGCAAACCACCCACCAAGGTATCTGAACTCTGATCTAATTTCTTTCTTTCTTTCTTTCTTTTTTTAGAAATGTGGTTTTTAGATCTGTTCCAACTCTTCAATTATTTTGACTTTATTTAATTCTACTATTCATCTTAGTACTGACGGTCTCCTCTGGGTTTTTCCGTTTGTACAGGAATCAGGAATATATAGAAACACATACCCATACATGCATAGTCTACATGTATGTATAAAATTTTACACAGAATGTACAAATATTGGGTTGGCCAAAGAGTCTGGATGGTTTTTCCTGTAAAATACAAGACACATTGTTCATTTTCATCAATAATTTTTATTGATTTGGGTATTTTGAGTATGTCAGCCGTCTCCCCACATGGTATAACATTGATTGTTCTCGATTAATGTCCTGAAATTTGGTGGCTGTGAACTTCAACTGGTCTACCAGACCATGGAGCATTGTCCAGCAAGGAACCTCCAGCACGAAACTTTGCAAACCACTTTTAACACACTTGATCAGTCACAGCACCTTCTCTATACACTGCACAAATCTTTTTGTATTTCAGTTGTGTCTTTACCTTGAAATAATAAAGCACAATATGCCACAAATATTGTATACTTTCTTTAATATTAAGATTGCTACTCAAAAATTCAGCCATTTTGATAAGTTTTTTTCAATGCAAGCTGATATGACAGCTGTCACAATACCATCTAACAAAACTGTTTCAAGTGAAATTAAAGACAACTAAGCACCACGAGAGCCATCTTATGGAAAAACCAAATGAACTTTTTGGCCAACCCAATATAAAATAGATACCCATGTAACTTTTTCTGTTCACACAGATGTATTCCTAGTACTGCTTCTAATTTCAGAGTGAATAGTCGTGACTTGGGCAAATGTCTTTTATGATAGAGAGCAAGCACAAGGCTTTCTTTCCTTGCTCACATAACCTAGATGAAAGGAAGTGGCTTTCACAACCTCACATACATACTGAGCATTCATGGTACAGTTATCCCTGAAGCATGAGGGAGGGACTGGAGAAAGATGGGGGAGGATTCAGCTGGGTCCCAGTTATGAAGAAATAACACACAGAGTAGCTGCTACTTTGCAAGACCCTCAGGATAAAGCCTGGGTAAGACATGGCCTGACCTCCTGGAGTTTGCAGTCCAATTACATAGCCAGTTACATCCTCCAGTGAAGGGAGAGTCTGAGAACCATGTATGTGAATGAGAAATAATTTTACTGCAGGGATGATGGGTGAAATTTATCAAATGCTTTCTACTGAGGGTGGCCTTACAGTTGAGAGCTTTCTCCCAGTGTTTACGAGGTCTATCCGGAAAAAGTCCAGCCATTGTTAATATAACAAGAATGGTTTGCATGACATGATCGTAACTTGGCAGCCAAGGAGAGTGGACTGGAATGTGCATGTGTGGACAATGATGACTACCCTGTGCTGGTCAGCGAGGAAGGTAGATGCCATTGAATGAGCACATGCACTGTGTGGCCATTCCATTCAAAATGATTGAGCAAATAGAGCGACACATCTACATCAAATCTTGTGTTACACTTGAACATTCCTCTACGGAAACTCCTGGAATGATTCAGAAGGACATGGCTATGGGCATGTGGTGACTGGCAGCTTCCTAAGGACAATGTGCCACTCACGCATCACATCCTGTGCAGAGTTTTATGGCAAATCATCAAATCACCCAGGTGACTCAGCCCCTCTACAGCCCAGATCTGGCACCCTGCAACTTCTTTCTGGCTTTTCCCAAAACTAAAATCCCCTTTGAAAGGGAAGAGATTTCAGACTGTCAGTGAGATTCAGGAAAGTACAACAGGATAGCTGATGGTGATTGGGAGAACAGTGTGAGGTCCCAAGGTGCCTACTTTGAAGGAGACTGAGGCATCACTGTCCTATGTACAATCTTTCTTATATCTTGTATCTTCTTCTATAAATGTCTCCATTTTTCCTACACCATGGCTGGACACTTTCCAGACAGACCTTGGTATATCCATAGTCTGGTCTTCTAAAATAGTGGGGTGTGGAAAACAGTATTAGGACATCTGCGTTCTAAGCCCTGGCATGGTCTGTCTCATGTTATATTAGCTGGAGTCTAACCCAAGGGCACTTTATCCCCCGGGACCTACATCGTGGGGGTGTTCATATAATAAACCTGAGACCTATGCCATGGTCACTTATGTTCCTCATTTATTATGTCAATCTTTTCTTGTACATCCCTCTTATGTTTAATGCTGCTGCTTTCTTAATGACAAAAATACCTATGACAAGTTTCAAGTTCTCAATTTTGATGCTTTAAAAATATAAATGACTTGCCCTGGCTGGTGTAGCTCAGTGAATTGAGCACAGGCTTACAAACCAAACAACTGTGGTTCGATTCCAAGTCAGGGTACATGCCTGGGTTGCAGGCCAGTTCCCAGAAGGGGATGCATGAAAGGCAACCATACATTGATGTTTCTCTCCCTCTCTCCTTCCTTTCCCCTCTAAAGATAAATAAATAAAATCTTTTTTAAAAAAAGAAGTGCTCTTTTTATATATATAAATGACTTGAAGTGTAGCTGTACTCTGTCACGCGGTTAACTCATTGCCTGTGTCGTCATAGCTGACACCCTCGGAGGCAGGCTTCCCATGAGAGCCCTTATGGGGGTTTCCTAAGGCAGGTGCATCTAATTAAAACTTGCATTTTGATGCCTCAATTTTTAAATGTTTATTTTCATTAGAGTTCGAAATTACAAATCTGGTAAGAGATGCTGAACAAATGACTTAGCAAATCTCAGAAAGCACTTCTTGGCGCATTCACTCGTGTGTGTTCTATCCCTGCCTCTGTGTTCCTCTGTCCCTGACAGCCTCTCACTCAACTGAAGAACTTCAGTTCAAGTTCCGACACCCGCCTGGGTGTGCCCACGCATTGCAGTGCGTTCCGAGTGCACACCCCATCCTCAGTAAGGCTCGCTTCTCACTCATTTGGGCCTGAATAGCAATTCTGTGCTTAAAGAAGGTATGTTTATACAGAAAGTTCGAGTTATTGGCTTCTGCACAGGTTTGCTCACGAGATTGTGAGTTCTTGAAGAGATAAAACTGAGTTCTATTCGTCTGTGTGCCCCCAGAGCTTTCTGTCTCTGATATGTGGTAGTCAGGAAACCACTGTGGGATCGAATTCACTTTCAGTGGCCATTTCTTCTGCGCAGGCCTGTGCTGCCCCCGAGAGACCAGAAGCAGAGGCAGAGAAGTCCTGGGGCATCATATGATCTTTCATCATTCATTGCTCCCCTGTCTTGGTCTTTCAAAGGAACACCCCAATCTGGACCATTTGCCGTACTTCAATTGCACCTTTCCCTCCAGATTCTACTGGGAAAGGGGAAGAAGAACAGAAACTAATATGTGCGAGTTCTTCACGCAAAACACAAAAATCTCCCATTATCTTCCCTAATGGGAGCGGTACACAGGGTGGGAGATGCTGGCTAGCAGGCAGACATGCCATGGATGGAGACACAGCTTACCCTTCCACACAGGTCCCTACATGTGACAGGCATGTCACAGGCTCCGTGGCGGGTCCTGGGGATCATGAGTAAGGGCCTTGTACGGAGGGACAGTCTTTTCTTTGCTACTCAAAGGGCCATCTGCTCCCTGAGGCCTTTCTATGCTGAATCAAGTTTAAAACACAAACAGCATACAATGCAACCTACCAGCTCATTGAAAGAGAAATGTTTTTATCCAAATTTCCATTTAAAAAAGAAAAACAAAGGCAAAAAGTAAAAAAAAAAAAAAATCTTAACGAATTGAGCCAACTAGGTTATGCTAGCATGACATTTAGACGAGTCCCAGATAACGCTGGTTAAAGAGAAGCCAGAAAACGCACATGGCTAAGGTGTTCCGTTCTGAGGTCACAGCAGCAAGAGTTTAGGTCCCATGCTCCATCGAGTTTCTAGAACTAAAAAACTACCACGTATGCAGTTTACCATACTCAAGCCACAAACGGTCCCTTCCGCTGCAGGCATAAACTTGGTCTCACACCTGTGGCCCACTCGATGGCACCAAAGTGACTTGCAAATGTCCTGCAAGGAAAGAAGAAACTCGTAAGGATAATAGTACAATAAAAACAAAAATATCCAAAGCCTTTTGCACATAATTCATTGTGAGGTGTCCAAAAGGAGACGGTATCCAGAGAGCAGAGGCATGTGAAGTTGGTGGTAGCCAGGTAACCAGTAGTATGTTCTAACCAATGAAGTTTCTACACTACCTGCATGTTCATGGATGTTTAGGAATGACTGGGGGGTAATAATAGTTAAATGAAAGACCATTTGTCTTGAAACCAAGAGATCTCATTTCTAATAACAACAAAAACAACAACAATATAGCAACCAGCAAAGGAGAACACGCTAAGACTGAGGTTAAGCCCGATTCAAATCCTTGTCCTGGAATTCCAGGTCTCGTGCTCTAAGGAAATGTTCCAGAAGCCTTGTCTTGAAGTTTCTTCCTCTGTGACACAGTGATCAAATTAGCACTTGCCCCTACAGGCTTGCTCTCCAGGATAAATGATGTAAGTAATCACTGTCATTACCTTCTTTATCTTTTATTAATTTTCAACCATTGAGACAATTTAATTCTCACACGAGATCTACTAAATAAACTCCCGTGCTGGACTGTAGCAGGCAGAATAATGCACTGCCCGCCCCCCGCCATGACCACAACCTCCTAATCCCTGGAAACTGAATATGTGAGGTTACACAGCAAAGAAGAATTAACATTATGAACAGAATTACAGTTGCCACCCTGGCTGGTGCGGCTCAGTGGATGGAGTGCCAACCTACGAACCAAAGGGTCACTGGTTCATTTCCCAATCAGGGCACATGTTGGGTTGTGGGCTGGGTCTCCCATGGGGGGCGCGTGAGAGGCAAGACACACTGATGCTTCTCTCCTTCTCTGTCTCCCTTCTTTCCCCTCTCTCTGAAGATAAATAGAATCTTTTAAAAAGATTAAAAGATTAAGATGCCTAATCAGTTCACCTTGAGATGGAGAGACTATCTTAAATCTCCCAGAAGGGCCCCAGGTCATCACAAGGGTCCTCAGAAGAGAACAGGAGAGAGTGAGGAAGACCGGGGGATGCCTCTGCCTTTGAGGATGGAGGAAGCGTCCACATGCCAGGGGATTCAGGAAGCCTCTGGAAGCTCGGGAAGGCAAGAGAACGGCTTCTCTTCTAGAGCCTCCGGAAGGAGCACCACCCTGCCAGCACCTGGTCTGAGCCCGTGAGACCCGTGTCGGCTCAGGTGTCTGCCTCCGGACCCATCAGAAAGCAAATGTGTGTGTTTTTAACCCACTAAGACTGGAAATTTATCACGGCAGCCACAGGAAACTAATGCTGTGACTGACACCATTTAGAGCTGGACACTGAGCCAGTGCCTCATAAAAACTCACTTGAATGAGGACACTGAGGAAGCTACTGACCCACTCAATGCGGTGAAGTCACGGAGCTGGTAAGTGGCAAAGCCAGACTCCAATGGCCTGACTCCAGAGTGCAGATCCTTGACCACTGCTCTGGACCGGGCTTTGCCATCCACAGATGGTAGAAAGCAGTCAATTCTCCAGGTCTCAGTCCCTGATCTACAAAGTAAGGGAACGGAACCAGATTCCTTCTAGCTCAAACAGTTCAAGCTGCTCTTCAGAATGACATCGCTAATGGAATATCAAAACCCATGAAACGTCAAAGTGACTCCATTTTGTTTGCTACATTGTTTACTATGGTAGAAGTGGGAACACATATATTTTGGGGAAAATATTAACAACCAAGGAGGAAACAAAATGATTTTTGTGATCACTTGTTGAAACCCTGAAAATTCCATTAAGTAGGCACCCAATTTCCCAGGCAGTTCAGCTAGTATAGACTTCATGGTTAGAAAATATGGTAAGAACATGCTTAGAAATATTTCACCAAAAGTTTCCCACAGGACTGAGAAAAGAAAACACAGGGAGACCGGAGACAGATGCCTGCTCTTGCAGGACCACAACATCCTGGCGCCCACCTTGAAGAAGCTGGGAGCACATTCAGGACACTGCTTGTACCACGCACACCAGTTCCAAAGCTCCAAACAGCTCAGAGGACACAGTATCTGATCTGAAACATGTGAATGTTTCCCGTGGAAGTGGATCTGCCACTGGCATTAGCGAGAAGCACAAGAGGCACTGTGCTCAGGTACTTGTCTCTGTGTGCCACCCTCTGTGTGCCGCCCTGGGCCTGAGGGGGACGCGTCCATGGGGAAAAGAACAGTCTCCATCAACACGGAAGAGCGGACACAACTGTCGAAACGATGAGAGCCACAGTGAGAAAGCCTTTCAGAATTAAATTGTTTTCCTTCTTACACCAGAAGAAAGCCATAATGCACACCCTTTGCCTATGTGGCAGCCACCGGACTGACTCCAGGGCAGACCCGAGAGGAGAGGCCCCAATTCCACAGTCAATGCCAAGCCACAGGCAAAGGGAAAGGGGCAGCTGGAGAAGACCAGGAGAAAAAAGCAAAACATGAAACACAGGGACTCCAGAGTGAAGTAAGGCAGGCTGCATGAACATGTTATTTCTTTTGCGGTGAAGTGCAGAAGTCAAACGTAATTATAGCCAACTACATGCTCCCTTTCAAAGTAAGCAGAAATGAGAGTTTGCACTTTTTTGCTGGTTCTTCTCTCTTTTTTTCCCCAGCACATTCAACTAACTTTTTCTTATCTATAATTCCCTAGACTTAAGTCATAATTTAAGGGAAAAGGACAGACCCACAGAGACTTCAGGGTCTCCTGTTGCCTGGATGTGATTTTTGAGAAAAGCGTCTCAGTGCCGTACATTATCCTCTCCTGTCACTGCTGGGCTGTGTTCGCCAGTTGTATTCCAAAGGACAGATGTCCCTGTAAGTAGAACTTGACATGCTAAAAATGTTAATGGCAAATCAAATTTTATGAAGCATCTCAAACTTAACACGTCCAAAACGAAATTCTCCGTCTGCCTCTTCCCTCAAACCTCTTCCAAGTCCAGCCTTCCCCAGCTTTATGACTCCTCCTACTGCTAGAATCTGGATCAATAAATCGCTGATTCACCTCTGACTCCGCCCTTTCTCTCAGAGAAGTCACTCCCATCTCCTTGAGGAGAGATGAGAAGGGGACAGAGGCCAAATCCTCCACTTCATGAAAACGGGAGCACTTAAAAATGTTTTCTTCGGTTACCACTGAAAACCCAGCAACTACTGAGTATTTGCCAATATGTCAGGAGCGTGCTGGGTGCTGCAGATACCGTCCACCTACTGGGACAAGAGGTCTTCATGAACAGTTGTAATACAGGGTCACCAGGTTTCGATGGTGATGCATAGGGCAGAGATGGAGGCCAGAGAAAGGAATGTTTAGACCTCCTGGAGGGAAAAACACTTGAGCTGAATCTTTCACAACAGTAAAAAAAGGATTAGATATTTGTCACATGGGTGACCGTGCAGCTTTCTAGATGAACAGCACACACACAAAGGCCTGCGGATAGGAGAGCAGGGCATCATCCCGGTTGGAACACAAGTCCCTGGGGAAGTTAAAGAAGTTGAACTGTGACGTAGTCAATTTAGTAGATTACAAAGGAGGTGTGATTTAGATACTAGGAGGTTACTCTTTTTCCTTATCCTCACACAAGGACAGGTTTTCATTGCTTTTAGAGATAGAGAGAAGGAGACAGAGAAACATCAGTGCAGGAGAGAAGCATCGATTGTTTACCTCCCCTATGCACCCAGACCAGGGAACCAAACCTGCAACCTGGGTATGTGCCCTGACCTGGAATCGAACCCACAACCTTTCAGCTACAGGATGATACTCCAACCAAATGAGCCACACCAGCCGGGGCTAGAAAGTTACTCTTTATTCTCCATTCTTTGGTCCCAATGTCCAATTCTTGACAGAAGAAATAGATGCCCCTCCTACTATATTCGGCATGCCTTTTCCTTGGAAGGGAATGCTCTCTGAAGTGACAGGCCTGAAAATATTCAGGAGAGTTCGAACACCTTCCCCATAATCCCCGTTCTGCTTCAGACCCTCTTGGTGTGGCTGTACATGAACATTTACGGAGCTCCTGCTACGTGATGGCAGCTGTGCTGGCTACTGAGTGAGGTACAGAGTACGGGCTGCTCATTCCTAACACGGTAGAATGACCAGCACGGAAGCCTTGGTCAGCCTTCCATACAGCTTGGGGCATTCTGGCAGAAAGCACTGAATCACTCACTGCGTCGGTAAGCATTTAATAAGTACATAATAGTCCAATGCAAGTTCTCCCTCCTTCAGGTCTGTCTAAGACTGTGCAGCCATTACCCACATGGACTCATTTTCTCGAGCACGGTGAAAGGAAACAGACATCCAGCCTGGTGTGCTGAAGAGGCAAACTGTGAGTCTGGAGGAGGAGGAGGAGGAAAGACGGGACGGGTGATAACAGTGGCCACTGTGAGAGGACAGCCAGACGTGACGGTGATGATGCTACTGGAGACGGAGGAGGAGGCAAGTAGAAAACCCTTATTATTTATTGAGTGGTGAAGCTACACCAAAAGATTAATCCTCGCAATGACCAGGGAAGAATTATTAGGCTTATCTTATGAATGTGAACATGAGAGCTGAGAGTAGCGGAGTCATTTCTCCAGGGTTCTAGGAAGGGGAGGAATAGGGTTTTAAACTCAGGTCTAACTCCCAATGCCAGAGAGAGAGAGAGAGAGAGAGAGAGAGAGAGAGAGTTTCAAATTTAAGATGGTCTAATGCAATAGCCCTCCATCTTGCGTGTGCATCCGGATGACCTGGAGCCCTTGTTCAAGCACAGATTGGCAGGCCCCACGTGCAAAGGTTCTTATTTACTAGGCCTGAGAGGAGACCTGAGCATTTGCATTTCTACCAAGTTCTAGGTGATGCTGATACACTGCACCTGCTGGTTTGAGAGGACACTTTGTTAGATGGAGAGCAGGATGACAGCTATTGGGGGGGTGGGAGGAATAGGAGGGTGGAGGGGTTGAGAAAAAAGGAAAAGGGACTCAAGGGCATGGACAACAGTGTGGTGATTGCTGGGGGGACTAAATGTAATGGAAAAAACACAATAAAGACCAAATCAACTTTTTGCAATGATCGTTTATTTTTTCCCTTTTTGTTGCTTCTAAACACTACGCAAAACTGCCTTTCCAGGAGGTACAGAGAAAAAAACACAGGTGGTCAGGAGAAAAGGTCAGGAAGGAACATAACGACAGGCCCATGGAGACCCTGAAGAGAAACCTCATGCTTCTCTTGGGTGGATGGAGCTGGTCTAACCTGTTGCGACCAACAGGATGAACAGGACCCCTCCTACTTACAGCCTGGCAGGGACCTATTTATGGTGCCCAGAGATGGAGTCATGTTCAAGTTATAAGTAGGCTTGAGAATAACACCAAAGGTCATCGACAGCAGATGGCGGGGGGTGGGGGTGTATTCCACATTCAGGGTCCACCACCGACCCGCCTCTCTACCTCATAGTCATCTTCAAGTCATCGTCCCTCAGTCGACCTCCCCGCCCTGCCAGGCTTTCCCATCTCTGTGCCTTTCCTTGTTGTTTTCTTTTTAAAAATACTCAACCAAGGATATATTGATGGATTGATTCTAGAGAGAAGGAAGAGAGAAAGGAAAGGAGGGAGGGAGGGAGGGAGGGAGGAAAAGAAAGACAGGGAGGGGCAGAGACATTGATAGGTGTGCGCTCCTACGGGGATTGAACCTACAGCCTAGGTATGTGCCTGGCTGGACAACTTCTTGGTGTACAGAACAATGCTCCGACCAAGCAAGCCACCCGGTCAGGGCATGCGTCTTTCCTTATTTTACTCAGTCCTTTAGTCTGGAATTTCCATTTCCCTTTGCTCTGCTTCCCAGGGAAGACCACAACACTGAGATTCTGTCTTTCAAAATATGGTATTTTTAGAAAAAAGATCTATATTTTAAGAATGCTTATTTAAGCTCTGATCACTGTCTGACATAGAACATGCACCCCACAAATGTTTGTTGAATGTACGATCCTGAAGGAATGACAGTCATTCTGGAAAGTTGCTTCATAGTTCTAAAGAAAATCAGTCTCATTACCAACTGTGCATTTACTGCATAGTAAGTGCTTTATAAATATTTGATTAACGAATAAGTTAGTGAATCTTTTAAGAATGAAGTAACCAGGAGACAAATGTAGCAACCATTTTCAACAAAGAGAATAGCCACTTAATTCTGCCAAATGCATCAACTTAATGGGCAATTTGAAATACTTATATATTTATTAATTTATAGATATCATACAGGCCCACGAACCATGGAGGACACACCGAAAGGTATATGTGTCAACTTTTCTAATAGTTATGCATTTAAATTGTATTAGAAAGATATGTAATCCCATATCGAACCTGTGATTGAATGGTTATTATTTCCTAGGTGTGAACTTATATTTTTTAAGTGAATTGTTTTATAGAAAAGCAACAAGTGGATAATAAAAAAAGAGACACAACATAACTAATGAAGGTAATTGTTAATGGCCGAATGTGAATGTTAATGATCAAAGGTTAGGAAACACTGGTATTAACTAACAGAGAGGAGGAGGCTTAACATCAGTGTTGGTGATGCATTTTGTCTAGGTACCATATTTAAAAGTTTTGTGACTTTGGGCAAATTAAATACATTCTCTGAGGTTTTTGCGGAGGCTGCAGAAAAATAGAAGAAGTCGAAGTAGAATGTTTTCTGTGGAGCAGAGACTCACTCGGCAACTGCTGAGGTGATGGTGGTAAATGGTAACGAAGTGGTGACAGTGGGGGTGGCGGCAGTGCTGCTGGCGGTAGTCACGATGCTGGTGGTGCTGTTGGTAATGATGGTGATGGTGGTGATGATGATGATCGTGATGATGGTGATGGTAGTGGTGATGATGGTGATGGTAGTGGTGATGATGGTGATGATGATGGTGGTGATGATGATGGTGATGGTAGTGGTGATGGTGGTGATGGTGGTGATGATGGTGATGGTGGTGATGATAGTGGTGGTGATGGTAATGATGATGGTGATGGTAGTGGTGATGATGGTGATGGTAATGATGATGGTGATGGTAGTGGTGATGGTGGTGGTAGTGGTGATGGTGATGATGATGGTGATGGTAGTGGTGATGATGGTGATGGTAATGATGATGGTGATGGTAGTGGTGATGGTGGTGATGATGATGGTGATGGTAGTGGTGATGGTGGTAATGATGGTGATGGTGGTGATGGTAGTGGTAATGGTAGTGGTAATGGTGGTGGTGATGATGGTGTGATGGTCAGTGGGTGGAAGAAGAGGAAGAAGCAGAAAATAAAAGGAGTAAAAAGAGGAATAGTGAGAACAGAGGAGGGAAAATGAGCTATGAAACTCCATAATTCCCCTGCATCCAGACCTAGCCTTTCCATGTTTCTCTTTGGGTACTCATGATAAAACAGCTTAGCAGGGCATCTGCTTTCTCAGCGAGGTTGAGATTGTCAGGGACATGGTTTTGACCGACTGGAACAGTGTTTTTCCCATCCCTACTCACTCAAAAGACTTGACAAATATCTTAAGATTGCTCAAGATATACATTAAATTTTACATATCAAAAAAAGTTGGCTGCCATAAAGTATTATTGTATCATGTAAAAGGCACCTATATGTATTTTGGGGGATGATTATGTCAAAAAATTCACACTGAAAGAGAACGTGAACATAATGATGCAAAAAACAGAGATGAGCAGGAGGTAAAGCTATTGAATGCAGATTTACTGCTTGTGACAAAAATCTTCATCTACAGTAGAGGAATGTTCTTTCAAGGATGCAAGTCTGATATACTAAAACCAGGCACGGTCTAGGGGGATCAGACGGGGTAATTCATTGCTGGTTAAATTGCTACTTAATTATCATGCCAAACAACTGACATGTTTGAGATAACCCAGACTCTAACCCTTGGCCTTAGCAAACTAAATGTTTATACTTCGGTTAGGTACACAGACACATTGCAGGATCTTAATGTGCATTTCGCATGGCAAGCAAACATACCTTCACAAAACCAAGGCTGCATAACTTGGCTTTTGCTCCAAATTGCCACTTGCACTGTGTGTCAGCATCATAAATCTGTCCTGGCAGTTTGTCCGGATATTTATACTGTCCTGTTTGCTTGGGCTCATCCACCAGACACCCAGCCTGTGGTGTACTGCAGTGACAACACATCCTTATTAATTATCTTGCTTATCTGCGATCTGCCACTTAAAATAATACACCTCTAAATGCATTCATGTAATGAAAAACATGACATGGCTAGAGAAATAGATATGTGCTTAAAATGAAAATGTATATTTATTCCAAATAGTGAGTTTCGTCCTGAGAAGGTGGAATTGATACATCCCTAAGGGGTTCCACGTGGTACTGAAGTTAGAGACCCCTAAGGGACCTGTGTGGCCGGCTAAGAGATGGGAAAGATCAACGCACTTGAAAACGTCCCCCAATCCTCTTGTTCAACAATACCCAACACGTTTCTGTTGAGTGCCTACTCTGTGGACAGCGTTATGCTAATCACTACAGGCATAGCGTGAACCAGGCAGGGAGAGAGTGTCTATTTTCATGGAGTTTAAAATCATGCCTTATATATTTTTTACAGATAATGGGGTAGTAGTCAAAGATACTTTACCCCAATTGACCTTTACAAGTAAAACAATGAATAAAGGTTTTGAAAAAAATCAGGAGAAAAAAACACATGGGAGCATAAGGCAAAACGATTTCTCTGAAGGATGTGCTAACAAAAAAAGAAAAAAGAAAAAAGAAAGCAGTCTTAAAAAAAAGCAGTCTTGATGGAAGCGGTATTCCCAGAAAGTCCTTATCTCCATCAGCTTAATTAGACCAGAATGTCTGTGAGGGTTTAAAAACAGCATGGTGGTTACGTGTGACTTTGGAGTCAGTGTATGGGGTCCAAGTCAACCACACGATTCTTAGACATCCCATTTCTGACAATGACTCCATGAAGGCCGTTGCAAAGATCAGTAAGAAAAAGGAAGGCGCATAACACAGCATAGTAAGCGTCCAGCTCACTGCAGTTATCATTGCCGTCCAAAAGCATTTAACTGTATCACAAAAATGACAGAATTCCATCCACAGGGTGGGTCAAAAGTAGCTTCACAAAGTAGTTGTGAGGATGTGAGACAGAATTTATTTTTGTATTATTAATGATTGCATTACTTGCCATATGAACAACTGTATACCCACTTCTGCCCCACTCTGCAAATTGAGTTGACCTGGATTTATGTATAATGTTTATTCCCACATGAGATAGAAAAGATCATTTCAGGCCCCAAATTGTAGATTTAAAACTAAAAAAAAATCTACGTGACAAAGCTTATTGTTAGCAAGTTTTGTCAAGTTTTCACTGTTTTGGGGAATGTCATGTGTTAGGCATCTCAACATTTAATCAGTTTTGCCTGTGCTGTGCATATTGCTAATTCTGTAAGCACTGGTAAATAATATGCAGTTGTATAGGTAAAAAAAAAAAAAGTACAGTAGTGTCCCTCTTATCTGTGGAGATATGTTCCAAGACCCCCAGTGGATGCCTGAACCCGCGGATAACACTGAACCTTACATATATACACACTGCTTTTTCCTACACATTCGTACCTATGACAAAGCTTATAAATTAGACACAGTAAGAGACTGACAACAATAACTAGTAATAATATAGAACAATTTATATCTAGCAATCTCTGGAGGTCATAGAGGAGAAAGAGGATAAGCACAAATCTTTGGGTCGTAACAGACCTAAGTGTGAGTCTTATGTCTGCAATTTACCAGCTGCAGGGCCTTAAGCAACACACTTATCCTCACAAGACTCCATCTCCTCAACTGTAGGATGAGGAGATAACAGGACTGCTGTGAGGGCTGAATGAGGCATCATGTGGTGAGTCTACAGCACAATATCAGGCTTTTCATCTGTCTTTCCAACAGTGACAATATCATCATCACCACCATCATCTGAGTTCTGTTCACTGGAAGGTGAAGAGCTATTCCCGCCGAGTATCTGTTTTTGCAGCTGTGGAACACTGCAGACTGGCCCACTCCAAACCCGGGAGCAACCTTGGCCTTGGCCTGTCCTACCTGAGGAATTTCTTGAGATACTGCCGGCTGCACGAAGACCATGAAAACACCCCGTTGTTTCCAGTCAGCGTGGGAGACATGATGTTGCCCTCGGCCTTCCTGCAGGGGTTGCCTTCTCCATCGTGAATCATGCCAAAGCTGAGGCACAGCAACAAACGTGACAACAAAGCCTCTGTGGACACCCCGTTTCCCCAATTATAACCAGAGGAGGAAAACGGTGTGCTGAGAGGCAGCGAGCCGTCAGGATTGAACGGACAGGGGAGGACAAAAATGAGCTGCCACACAAAGTGTTGTGAAATTCCTGGGGAAGATTTTAAAGATGCCGAGTCCTTTGTCAGAGTGTGTCTTGGCTAAATAAAAGAATGGTATACCTGCCATGTATTTTAAGAATGAGGAGATTTTGGTCATCCAGATTTTTCAGCTAAGTTGAGGTGGTGAGAGAGTCAAATTCTTTTATTTCAAATGGTGACACTTCTTCCCTGCCACCAACTGTGAACTGTGATGAGGAAGTTCAGAGTGAGGAGCGGGGAGGCAGAGAGAAGCTGACTGTGAGTCGCTGGTAGACTGTTTGCTCATAGAGCAAGTGCGACATAAACCTAATGATGACCTGTTCATTACCTAAAATCACAAACTCTGCCGTAACCAAACTCCCTTAAATCATAAACATCTTTAAAAATGAGTGGTTGGACTCATATAATGAAGACACACATAGGGCTTTTTTTTAATGCATTTTATGAGACAACTTTGATCAGTCCCATTTTACTGCAGAAGGTTCTAGTGATCACAGTGTAAAAATACCTTTAGGTGGTTTACTCCCTAGGAATTGTGTGCATTACACCTGCATTGTCCCCAAATCTCCTGACGGGTAGAATAAATATGACAGTAATGTATAGACCCATATGTGATACATGCATCATAAAGACAGCAAATTTCAGCCACATTAGAGTTGTAGAGGGTCAGAGAACAGCTGTCTTTTGCCATCTCCAAAAAATTCAGTGCACAAAAAAGCTTTTAGTGGTTCCAGGGAGGCAAAGGATAGACATGTAACAATTTTATCATTAATTTAGATGGTTCTCAACCTAATTATTTAAAGGAGCATAATTCGCCTCTGAAGAACACATCTTCATGAGGCAGGTATAACTCTTGTGGAAAGAAACATGTGATTCTGGTATACTTTTATTAATAGTTATTCTTTGAAGTTAGCCTATGCCAAATAATATAATATAATGTAAACTAGTAAGTATAAGCATAAATAGGATTCTGTTGTGACTTATGTCTGAAAATAGCCATTTTTCTAGCATTTCCTCTCTGTTTATCAGGCAGGCCACACCAGACAGCTGTGTGCCATGATTGTATCAGTGAATGCCCCAGCCAGTTACAGGTGACAAATTCATAACTAAGTATTTATTAAATTCAATGTGTACTCAGGGAAAGCATCTTCTCCGCCTCAGCTTTGCCCTATTCAATTCTTCGTTATGCTGAACCAGGAAACTAAGGGGGTTAGTCCGGAAGATGCCCCTCCTAAACATATAGGTGAAAGTCAAAAGCAGAGGGAAATTTCTATATGAAGTACCAAAGGAAAGAATCGAGGAAATGATCATTAAGTTTTCATTTCAGTGGAGTTTTATGGACATAAGAAAACCAAGTTTAAAGTGAATTTTGAATGTAAAAATGTTAAAAGTTCTAATTTACTTCGATTTAGCAGTATTTTACAAAATACACATTTTCTTTAGCTCATGTCAACAACCATATCAATATCTCGTGAAACGTCTGTTTTGAAATTTACCTCTGTAAGGTTATGTTACTTAGAACCTGAGTATGTATGCTTTATTTTTGTATCTGTTCTTTCTTTTAATTGTGACCATTCTCTGCTCACCCCATCTGGAGAATGTCTTTGTTTTTCCTTACTTAAAATGTTGGATTTTGATTTTGGTTAATTTTAACTCATAACCAAGGGTGATGAAATTTTTTAATGGCCAGTAATTTGAAAGGTGAGAGACCTGTTCATTTGGACCCATTCATTTGAAACAAATTGACACATATGTTTGACATCCAAAGATCATTTTATTTCCTGCTCTATACAAAGGGTCTTGTGCCTAATGGCTAGTTTTGAACCACCACTCACAGTAAAATTGGTTCATTCACATCTTTCTAAGAAAGCAGTTTGTATATACATAAAATTCTAGGAAACTGTTAGCTAATAGTAATGGTCAAGATTCAAATTTCCTAGAGATAATGCATTTAGCTCTTGAGACACTAACACCAAAATATCAATCACAAATTATAGTTGTGGCATAGATGGCATTTGCTTTTATTTTTAAGTCAGAAATTAATTGGATGCTCTGAAAATGAGCATTCAATATAAATGCTGAATACGAGGCACACAGAGAAACGATCCTGAACTCATACATGCAGAGAGTTTGCCCTTGAACTAGTCATTTTGTGAAGCAGTATGCGTATACCAATGTAGATGCTGTTGCTCAAATAGTGTTTGAAAATTCACCACAGAATAGTACCCACTCCAGAGGATATGCCTCATAAAATGAATTCGTTTCATTTCTCCTGGGTTTCTGATACCTCATTTCTGACTATATTCTCACAGAAGAAAGATTTACTGATAGCAGTTAAAAAATATTAAGTGCATGCAACGATGCCAACTAAAAGAATATTTAGAATATGCAATCAAAAGTTTTAAACCATCAGCCTGCCATTATATTCTGAGAATTGACACGTCCCCATGATCACTGCCTTTGTGTAATGAACCATAGATATTTCTGGCAGAACATGGAAGAAAATAAGCGAATGCCTAACTGACTAGTGGAGCCCTTAGACAACCCGCAGTCCATTTATGCAGAGTGCAATACTGTGGGGCCACTAAACGAATGCTGTTTAAAAAGAGCAATGTCAGTGATGGCCTTTATGGAGCCCTCCTTATCATCAGGCTTTCTTCTAAGATTTACATGAGATCTACCACTTAGATCAATGCCATTGCATCACCCAACCAGCTTTCATTTACGGTCACTTACTTGTGCCCTGACTCGTGAGCGATGGTGAAGGCCAGGCCAAGCCCCGTGTCTTCGTTGATGGTGCAGCTTCGGTACTTACTGCACATCCCGCTGATGGGGGCGAACCCTGTCAAAACACCAGTTTCAAATGTTGGTCCACAGGGAACACACACAGGTACCTCATCACTTCTTATGCCCTCAAAACGTTCTGTACAGTTTTAGTTTAATGCATTTATGGATTTATTTGGGGGGGGCAGGGCTGGAAACACTGGCCTGTCTAATTAGATAAATGCAGAATTTTGTATATTTTTTCTTAAGATATCATCAGCAATTGGTCCTCCTCACAACCCTGTTTAGTCAGTCTGAATATTGTAATTCTCATTTTATACATAGGATACTGCACCACTGAACATGTATTATCTAAATTTACTATTTGGGCCAGAGCAGCTGCTAAAATGATGGCTAAGCCACTGCAAAATGCCCATTTAACAGTAGGATTAGCATCAAGGCGCAAGGTTTATTTTCTAAGAAAACACACATTCTGATCCATTTCTAAAGTACATAACATGAAAATGCCTAAATAATGTGAATAGACCAAATTCATTTTTCTCCTGTTCACTATAATGTGATAAATATTCCTGTTTCCCAAAACTGCTTCCTCCAAAAAGCAGGTATAAAATCAATCCTGGATTGCATCTTGAATGACATGATAGTGGTAAACATCTGTCCTCCCATATTTGAGTCCTAATAACCAGTGAGTGTTAAACACACACTTGCGGATCGACTGCACCCACCTTGTGGTCAAGATGTGGGATCACCCGGGGAACCTAATGCAGTATCATGGGCGGCTCCATCACCACCTCCACTCCCACCATCAGCAATGATCTACCAACCATCTATTAAAATACCTGTTGAATTCCTACTGCATGCAGTGGAACACACGAGAAAATACACTACAGATGTAAAAGATTTGGTGTTTACTCAATGTCTTGTACAAGTATAGAAGATCTGAGTCCTTTGAAGGTCAAGTAACTTTCTAAAGGAGACATGGCTACCAAGGAACACAGTTAAATACCATGGAGACCAATCGAACTCTCTTCCGCTACCCAGCTCTGCAGTTGTGATGCTTATGAAATAAACCACAGTGCGTCCAGTTAAAGAACTCATGCCTCAACAAGCATCAACAGAGTTAATGAAAAAAATACAGAAACTACATGCTGAGTTTAGTTATACAGAACAACATCCACCAGAGGGTCCAGTAAAGATATCCCATGGTTTAAATATTAGGTCTCCTTATTAATGATCATAAGAGCCACCCACCCAATAAAAACATGCCCTGCTGTGTTTTCAGCTAAGAGGGTTTTCTGCTCATACCATACCTAAAGTGTCACATGGTTCATTCTTCCAGGAACAAATGTCAAATCCTGTGAGTAAGATGGCGTGGTCATGCCTCTTGCCATTCTTCCCAACGAGGGCCGACTGCCACTGACAAAAGCTATTCAGAGACTGGTCTGCGTGATGGTTGATCGATAACCCTCCCTGTGGGAAACCCACACAAAGCAGAGTGTGAATCTGTTACAGAGATGGGACCGTTGAGTCAGTCCATTTCCACAGGCAAACACAGAAATAGCTCGTTTGTAGGGAGAGGAAACAACTCGAGCTAAGGTTGATGACAATTGGTAAAAAAAAAAAAAGAAAAAAACCTAAAAATTATTTTGGATAAATTCTCACGATATTTTAAAGTAACTGCAGAGGTTAAGTAGTATAGCCGATGACCAGTGATACTTCTATAACCAATAACCTGACTGGCTAGGTTCATCTTTGTTCATGTCTTGCTAGTAACACAAAAGTATTATAACTTTTGGGACGTAATTATAAATGAATGGTGACAAAGTCCAAAGCCTCTTCAATAGAGCCTGAGAAGGTAATGAGTATAGCTTAGTTACTGCTCTCTCGAAATTTCCACTAAAGGGCTTGGTATATCACAGGTTATGATCAATCAACCAACCAATCAAATGAAAGCTCCCTGAATGGATGAAGAAAAAAAAAACAAACAGTTACAAGATTCTAAAGGAAGAGGTAGAACCTACCCTGGAAATAATTATGTCAAAACATTTGCTTAAAATTATCAACTAGGGTCAAGGTCAGGGTTTTTAGAGCGGCTCTCCAGTTAGAGTGGATTAGACTGCTGCTGGCTTCCGTGTCCTTGAGTGAAGTGTACGTCCAAGGTCAAAGACAAGGTGCCTTCCAAACAGCACACACCCCTTCTGCCTTTCGGAAATTCCAAGAACCATTTGGCAAACTGTGAACCTCGGCAGCTCTACACACCTGGGCAGGGAGGTGGATTCTGTCTGACCTCTGAGTCTCTGCTCTACTCATTCACGTTACTGGGGCTGTAGACGCAGATGAAAGGCTGCCGGGTACTCACGACAGTCTGCAAACTGGTCATCCCCACCTCAGAAAAACACAGATTTAACATCGAAACACTGCAAAGCAATGAGTGTCTGCCATTTAGCACTTTAATATATGTGCTGATTTTATAATTTACCCCCTGCCTTCGTCTTGCACCTCACTGTGATCAGTTCAGGGCAGTTCAACATTCCTCGTTTATCTCTGGAGTGCCCAATATGACGCTGGAGACAGTCCATTGACTACAGTCTGATGACTTTTCTTCAGTATATTTTTAAAATGTCCTTTTGCATATACCTGCTATTTCTCAGCATATACAACTTGTAAAATCCAACTAATCCTTACATTTATTATCAAATGCTCCTACCTTATGAGGTCTATTTATATTGTTATATATAAGATGTATATTTTACATTTGCATTTATAGTACACATGCATATTTAATCATAATTTATGTGTCACTGTATATGCATGAATACATTATACACATTTGTATATAAACAATTATTTGGGGATGTTTTAGTTATTTGAATACACAACCCTATTAGATTGTACTTTCCTGGAGGGTAAGGTCGGCATATTTTTGAGTTTGAATTTCTAGTGACCAGTAAGAACAGGCCTGGCACATGCTGGGTGTTTAACAGGTGTCTCCCGAATGGAGAAACAAATGATGTGTGCCACTCACAGGCTCTTGCTCCAGGAGAATGAGGCTCACCACCACGATGTTTATATCGCTTCCGATGGTCCCGTCTTTAAACAGGCTGGAGACCTGTTGCAACAATTGAAGCCAGAAATAAACAAATCTGAAAATTGCCAACACTGGGGAGGACAAAAACCAATAAAAAGTATTTATGTGTATAAAGGCTTTAATTTTACCAACTACATGTACAATGAAGCCAATTTCCTCAAAATCCAATTTTTTTTTCCAGTAAAATTGCATTGAGCTGCTATTGAGCCCATGCAAGGGAATCCTCTGCCATCTGGCGGTTCTGGGAGGGTGGCAGTCCCACCGCCTCCCTTACCATGTTCATGACTGTGAGGATGTACGTGGTGACGTTGGCCTTGCCGTGCTTGTCCACCATTTTCTTGTCTGCTACCACGAGGGTCTCCACGTTTAGGCCCTTTTGTGACTTTCCAGCTGACCTTCTGGGACGCCCTGTGCTCCCGTATTCATCGAACCTGAGATAGGTGTCCTCTGTGGGAGGCTTTGGGGCATCTGCAGTGAATGGAAGAGCATTTGAACGGGGTATCAGTCCAGAACACTTGGGTGAGGTAGACAGACATCTGAACGAGGGGAGGAGAAGGACTACAGAACCAATACTTCACTAGGCTACTGATAAGTGATGCCATCAGTGCCTGTCCTGGGGCTCCGCACTTAGTTTGTGGTCCAGCAAGATTCATTCAATAGAAGTTTGGATGGATGAATAGATGGGTGGATGGGTGGATGAGTGGGTGGATGGGCAGGTGGGTGAGTGGATGAGCAGGTGGATGAGTGGGCAGATGCATGGGGTAGGTGGGTGGATGAATGGATTCAGTAACTCAGAAATGCTCTAATGGGTAAATAAAACGCTACAATTCAAGTGGGTCAAGAAAAAAATCAATTTTGTGAGAATAGTTTTTTAAAATAAAAAATGCTCATTTTATTTTATGACTAAAACAACTGCAGAAATTGACCTCATTCTTTGCATCTGAGCTCATGATAACACTTTACATGTTACTTCCTAAATAAAACTTAGAAATATATACCCTGTAGAACACTGCCCATGTCTTATACTCTTGTTTCATCGACACAAACTTTAAAGTAGCACAAAAGTAGCCATAAATGGCTAATCAGATCTCTGCCCTGATAGTGACTTAGTGACAGGGGAAACAGCATAGTCTGATTGATATTTAAAAGTGTAAATACTTTGTAACAGGTAAGGTGCAGGCACCATCTTAACAGAATGGACAGTGGCCACAGCCTGTGGGCAGAGCCCTGGACGTGCCTATTGGAACAGACATGGTCTCTGTAGAGAATGGACAGTGACAAGTCCAAGGGCGGCTGGGAAGGAAAGGAGCATTTGCAAAGCCCAGGACAGTAACTACGTAAAGTAATACAGAATTATTCTGGTACAGTTATAATAGTGACGTCTACTCTCTACAGAGTGAAATCAAAAGAGCAGACCATTTAGAGGTAGGTTTAAAACCTCAGGTTGGCTACACCGATACGTGACCTTGAGGTTAGATTTCATATCTCATTGCCACGGTGAATATCATCACAATTATAGTAACACAACCACTACTATAGATGCATGCCAAATAGATGTCACTCAGAGAGGATATTTCAAGAACACCCCCAACACAGAAATGAACTGATGATGATAAAAACACTGTCATTATTGCTCCCAATTAACGTCTCAGTGACAGAAGCCCCCCCACCCCCCGGGGGGCAAGCATCCCTTGGTTGCCCGTTCAACTCACTTGCTGCTCATGGCTACTTAGCCTTTGGAATGAATGTGGTTGGTGACAATAGAGAGAGTTAATTTTAAATTTAATTTAATTTAAATTTAGAAAGCAATACTTGATTCAGTTATGAAAAAACGTAAGCATGCTTGGAACAACTTGAACATGGAAGTCTACTTTTTCAACCTTAAATTTTGTAAAATCTAAACACAGATTTTTTTTTCTGATGAGAGTTTATCATGTGAGTTGAAACTGTGCTGTAAGTGCAAAATAAATACTAGATTTCCAAAACTTAATATAAAAATAGTAATTTGTTCCACTGATGACATATTAACATAATACTTTGTATTTTATTGCTTTAATAAAATATATATTATGTATTAATAAAATTAACTATTTAAAATTGTTTAACTGTGGCTATTAGAACACTTAAAATTCCATTTGGGGTTGGCAGTATCTTGTATTTCTCCTGGACATGGCTGGTCTAGAGAATGCAGAAGGCTGTGCCCAGGTCAAAAGACCATGCCCAAGGGCCTAATTAATTCACTCAGGTGCCAACATTCTTGTCTGCTGGGAAGTTTCCCCTTCAAATTCTTAAAAGGAACGCCCAACCATGCCTGAGGATGCAACTCTGATTTCTTTCACTATTGGGAGACTAGGTACTTTTCTCCTGAGCACAGAGATAACATTGCAACCTGTGACTAAAATGTAGGAGGTGCTAAAAGATTAAGAACAAAAAAGCAGATAAAAATCTTTCCAGTTTATCCAAAAAAGCTGAGGATCAATCACGTAGTATCTGCCTGACAGGGATGATGTCTGGTCCATCTCCAGGACTAATTCCAATTTTAACATGCGAAGCCGGCACACCCAGTGGTGCTTGAGGAAACCTAACGAGGGCCCATATACGAACAGAACAAGAGAAAGTTTCCTTACATACATTTCTTGCGTCGTCCACAAAAATGCTGCTTTTGCAACCTTCGATGGTGATGCTCTCTTTCTTGACTCAGATACGTGTGGGGAGTGTGTCTTGGGGAGTGACCCGGATAATTCTGGCTGGAGCCCGGGTAGCCATGGTAACGCTGGACCGTCTCCTCAGCGGTCCGTTTGTACAGTACGTGAGGGTGGTGGCCGGCAGGTGAGCTGTAGTTGTGTTCCTGGGCCAGCAGCTGAGGTAATGGCGAGATGAGGAATTCATTCCTTCGTGTCCTTATCAGACCTGACTAAGAAGCCAAACACAAAGGAAACGTGAACGATTCCAGGCATGCCTTTTGTGTGTGTTGATTTTCAGGAACTGTCTATCGGCTACTTCCTGTGTGCAGGCACCGTGTTAAATGCTTGACTCGTATCATCTCGTTTTATCTGTACCGTTAGCAGTTGCAACTCTTATCCCCCCATTTTACTGGGGAGGAAACCGAGGCCAAGATAGTGAGTGGGAAAGCCGATACTGGCACTTTGGGGAAGGAAAAATAGTTTTCCCTCTACCTTTCTAGACTCTTGGCTGAAATTGCCCCTGTAATGGAAAAAACAAATTAACAGGAGAAAAACAAACAGATGTTTAATAACATGTATACCTCCCTTTATACATGGGCGATACCCAGGAACCCAGAAATGCCTGGAGATGGGCCAAGCCACCACCTTGAACCTGTCTGATTGCAGGGGTGCCTCAGCCAGGAACCTAGAAGGTGTCAGAAGGTGGCAAAATAGAGCCAGAGAGGTCATTCCAGGGGAGCCACCTGCACGTCTCACTCCTTGAACCTTTGGAAAGTCTGAACTGGACAACATGACCTTGGGGCTGAGCCAAAGCAACACTGCCTTGTAAATAACTGTTTGTGAAACTAGCAGGAAAGCAGACACCCTGACCACGAGGACTGTCGATGGTGGACTCTTCTTCTGCAGATAGAATCAGTCATCAGCCACGGGCAGCTAAAGAAGAACTCCACCTGCTAGCACCAACAGAAATGTCTCTCCTTCCGTCTTGCAACCATTTCCCTCTCATGCCTCACAAATACCCCCTTGCGTCCCCCTGGAATCAACACCCGGCCTGGGTTCCTGCCCTCGTCTGTGCCCGGGGCTGCAATTCTGTAATCTTACGCAAATGCTTGTGGCCTCTCACTTTGGCTTTTTACTTCTAGGTTAATCCAGGACAAAGAGAAAATTGACTTTTCCTCCCCTACACACGCGTAAGGGAGTCTGCACACACGTCTTTCACTGTGTCTCCCACACACTGGTGTGGCTCTCTGGTGCCCACTGCCTGTCTCAGCGTGACCACCACCTCCTCAGACCCCGTCTGAAGTGGGCCTCTCCCCACTTCTGCGTCACCTCAGGCCACAGACGTTTGCTTCCGTCTATCTTCAGTGAAGGAAACGAAGGGCACCCTGTCCCCGCCACCTCTGAGGCACACTCTCCATGTACTCCACGGTGGCATCCCAAGTGTCTGCCACACATCAGCAGCCAATCGATATTTATGAGTCTGTGAACATTTGTGGGATGAGTTATTGAAAGAAACTCAGTGTGGAGGGGCACTGGGGGCATGCCTCCCCCCCTTCACAGATGGGGAAACCAGAGTTGGGAAGTGACAGGTTCGGATCCACTCGGGACTAAACAGAGAGGGGTGTGGCCTGGTGTGTTTGTCCCATTACAGGAATGACAACTTTCTCCAAACAGAACTTTTCACTCTGCTTTGGAGTTGCCTACAATTCTCCTGCAACAGGGAGGAAAAAGAGAGCCCCCAAACTGGTTAGTCCAGTTAAGGCACTTAGGTGGTTTGAGCCTTTGATATGACTTTGACTAGTTAGGAAGTTACTCAGGCTGGAGGGCTTTCGAGGATAATGCATTTTTTTTTTTTTTTCCAGAAACATTTAAATCTTTTCACTGTGTTGGGGACTGTAGCCGGTGTCCCTTGTCTACATGCAGCTTAGAAGTGAGGGGGGGTTCCTCCTGCGCTGCCAGCTGAGACCAGCTCACGGTGGCTGTGAGGGTTAGACCAGGTCCCAGGGGAGAGCAAGAAGGACCGTCTGGAGGGGACAAACTCCAATGTCATTACGCGAGACCAACACTGCTAACGTCCTCAGGTCTCCCTGAAGCACACCATTCTAAGAAACTGAAATACAACTTTTTGCCGTCTGCACCTACAGCTAAGGAAGTAGTTTAACTGATAACTCGGACAGGCCTCACGTGTGGACACAGACTGAAAAAAGAATGCGTGTTCAGGATCCCCTACTGTTGAAGGGGGGAAATCTCATGCTTTGGGAGAAAAAAACAAAAGTACATACATCAACAACAAACTGTCATCAACAAAAAACTGTCATTTCCCATGCATTCACTGCTACCATTATTACCACCAATGGGACTCACAACAGAAATACGATTTAGAAGATTTATGTTTTCCAGATCCGTATACCCAATAATCTTCCTTCAAAAGCCTGAAAAGCTCAGTTAAACTGAGTGTAATCAGACACCATCAATAACCTCAAAGTTTTCACAGCCTGGTGAGAGTGGGGGTCGAAGCTGGCAAGAGCCACCAAGTATTTTGAATTTTGTAACCGTGAAGTGCCCCTTTCATCCTTTCCCTTATCTCTTGGGGAAGTTTATAAACCTCTCAGGTACTCAAGTCCCTGATTTGTAAAATAGGAATAATAATAGCACTTTCCTCAGAGGATTTTTAAGGTTAAATAATATTAGCACTTAAAAAGTGCTAAGAACAATACTTGGCACAGAGAAAATACTCAGTACATGTTTATTATCGTGATTATTCTACTTGATTATTTGAGGGAACAAAGCAGAAAAGCCACGCCATTTTCTAACAGTGTGTTTGTATTGCAATTTCCCCCTTTGGCTGGACGTGAAATTCTGGGAAGCAGCATAAATGTTCTTTCTGTTCATTGAGAAAAACAATGAAAAACTCAACAGGTTTTAAGATCTGAAAAGAGATGAATGAAATTCTTGCAAATGTAACTGGAGATAGAGACAGAGGAGAAATCATAATTCCTCTTTGTTTTTTAACCTTGGATTGTTGCTGAACCCAAAGATTCTAGGTTTCAGGTTTGACTTGTTTGTTGGGTTGGTCTGATGGGTTGAGGAGGACAGAAGGCAGGCACACAGGAAGTCTAGTGACTCTCCTCTTCCATGACCCTACTTGGATCCATAATGTTCACAGGTCAAAACATTTAAATCCAGCTTTCGTCCATTCCGAAGACCCGATATCTAATCTACTGGCTGTTTCCTGAGTACAGGCAGCTCCCTGGGGAATACAATACCTTTGACTGGCTTTAAGGAAATAAATGGATGGTTACTGCTGAGAGAATAAGAAACGCAAAGTCAACTTTCTGGAAAATATGGCAGAATGCACCATGAGTGTGGACTAGAGCTCTCAAACTCCATACCGGCCAACAGTTAAGACAGATGGGTAACAGCCCAACTCCTCCCAGTGGATACCTGGGCGGACACCTCCAAGGCTGTTCGACAGCTGCTCACTGAGCACCGTGTCCGGGGTTCATGCAGCTGTGCTCCCGGCAAAGATGTTTATCCGGGTGACCCCTGACCTCAGTCAGGCAGGTAGGGTCTCCATGTACTCTCAGTGGCTTTGGCTTTCTGAGTCACGCTGAGAGTGATGGATTAAGCAGGGGAAAGGTCCAAAATACTTGCTTCAGCAGTTCTTAGAAATGCTGGTGTTTTTTCTTTCCGAGCTTGGGAAGTTCAGCTCCTCCCAATACTCTGGTAGACACAAAACAAATTATCCTTTTCTTGCACTTACTAACCAATTTTGGCTCCAAAACGGTATCAACCAACAGGCTTTGACCACATGCGATGTTTTGTGCTATTGACACAGACAAATCATCTCAGGTCCTTCTTCAATTAACTGTCTCTACTGGTCTAGATCATGCCATTCTAGTGTCTCTTAAGGAATATTAATAATGTGCTGATGTAACTCACTTATTTGGCTAATTAATAATATTTCTGTTGAAATAAATTCTTAATTACTTCAACAACCCAAGTCTCATGAGACCAGGATACAGTGGCTTACAACTCAACATTGGGTTGAGAGGTGTGAGCCGATTATGTCCAATAGACGTCTGTGGCCATTCTCGGAAGGGCATTTACTCCCAAAAAGCTCTATTATTTTTTAAAACAATGTATAAATATAAAAATGGTTGGCATGTTTACCATAGCTATTATATAAATTTCAGTATTAATTTCAAAAAATAAATCCACAAATGCTCATATAGTTTTTTAAGAAGCCAAAAATCTATGACTTAACACTGATAAACTAGTCCAAATAGTTTAGTCATGACCAATAGATGGCTCTCTCTTTCTCCCCACCCCCTTTACTGTCTCCACCAATCAGAAGAGTTGTTCACAGTTTCCTATGCAACAGTGTGCAAAACATTCTCTCTGTGAAATCTCATCTGACTCTCACAACAGTCCCATTGGATAGGCACCCTCATTAAACCTTCTTCGTGACACAGCCTTCCCTCACCCTTAAATACACATCCTATCAGGATTCAAGAAAAGTTCAAGAAACACTGTATTGTGTAACTAAAACTTACTAAGAAAGAACCTGAATGTATATGTAAAAAAATTTTTTTTACAGGTAAATATATGAGGTGAAGAATGTGTTCATTAACTCAATGGGGAAAATCTTTTTGTAATGTAGGTAAATTCAAACCATCACATTACATACTTTAAATATCTTACAGTTTTGTCAATTATATCTCAATAAAACTGAAAAAAAAAAGAGAAAGATTCTAGAGAGGATGTGACCTTTTTTGGCAAAGTAGGTTAGCAGCCCAAATAACTGACTCTTAAGGTCAAAACACTTGTGGGCTGGCTTAACGTGAGTGCTAAGCTGCCAACTCCCTTTTCCCGCCATTTTGTACGGAAAAGAAGAACACCGAGAGGCACCCACAAACTCGGACCTTCCAGAAATGAAGGCTGGGGTCAAGTGATGTTAAAATAAGAGTCATCCTTTTGGCTTTCCCTCTCGATTTTCACACCAAAGTGTGGTGTTCAAAGGCATCAGTCACGGAGAAAGCTTCTCTGTGGATCTGGAGATCCTGGCTCAGCTGCTGTCTGGAATGTGTCTTCACTGGACAATACTAAGCTAGTTCAGACTCACCCCGCCAATGCTCTGGTTTCACGCTTCTATTGCATTGCAAGTACTTGCAGGGCATGGCGGGGCTACTCTGCTTTGCAACAGCCAAGGCCTGTCCTGTATGTCAGA